TTCCATTGGTTAAGTTCATTTAGGAAATAAAAATGGTTTTAATTTATTATTGTTTTTATGTGCATTCCTTCTAATTAGGCATACAAAGCTTGNCTCAGATGGTTTTGCTCCTCAAAACGAGAGAGGTCAACTTTTAGTTATGATTATTGTGGAAGTCATTCTTTCGGCAAGGAAAAACTGCAGCTGATTTACTTTTCGCATTTCGCGACAACTAATTAACATGGCACGTGGCGAGACAACTAGCAAAGAATCGCTTCGCGACAAGAATGTGATACTTGGCTAAAGGGTTCATATTCTTTGAGTGATCGCTGGAATCGTGGAATACTGTTATTTTTTCTATATTTTACGGGTTTTCAAAAGGTGATACTAAACTAATTACTGTTCCTTTCAGTTTTCCCCGCCGGTATCATGCAATTCCCGTTTCTCACACTAGGCGTTCCCAATTATATTACGTATGGAATGGTAGGAGCCGTGATTGGACATGAAGTATCGCATGCATTTGATGATCAAGGTTTGTTTGTTACTGTTGCGCAATGACTTTCACTAAAATTCTCAGCTCCCATAACTCCCTGATCCTACCCCTTTCGTTCTTCCTGATGCCGGCCTTCGTGCACCTTTTCTCACACTCGCATGCACGTTCGCCACCGTATTCAGTCTCCTGAAATCCAAAACATACATCTATCCCGGCCATCCTTTACCATGTCTGTCCGTGATGGCGACGTATCCCTTCCTGCTCAGCTCATGTAGTTAACATTGAAAGAGAGGAGCGCAAAAAATGTGCCCTTGGGGACATTCGAAGAGCGTAGTATCCCATGAATGTTCCTTATGCGGATATAGGTGAACCTTACGTGGAAGCAATTAACGAAATGCATAAAGAGATGAAGGGTTTGAGCACTTTTCCTGGGAGAGATACTATCATATTGAAGTGATCCGCTAACGGAACTTGCAAAAAAGGGCTGTCTTTATGAAGTTCGAATCGGACTGTAAAACCCAATCCCGCTTGAGTCTCGACTAAAAATGTTACGGTAGATTACGGTACATGACTTCTTTAGGGAATTATTCGTAAAAGCAGTAAAATTAATTGAAATTTTAGGAGGTCGATATGATGAACTCGGTAATCTTAATGATTGGTGGGATACAGAAACGGCAGAGAAGTTCACAGAAAAGACCAGGTCAGTTGAGTTCAGTAACGTCGGCATATTCGAGTGCTTATTTTCTTTATATTCCCAAAGAGACCGATAGATATTTGAATTCCGTCACACTGAACTGCTAGAATTAAAATTTGCAAAGCTCAAATTCACAAAATCCACTTCAAATTAAAATTGGAACAGAGCCAAGAAAAATTTCGATAACTTCATGGATCAGGCTTCTCAGTCTGCCTGATGTCCCTCGTCTCAGTATTTTTCGATCTCCCATCTGAAAAGCAAAGCTAATAGATGGCTGTGTTCACAATGGAATTGCATATCATGGAAACTCGACCAAATTTATTTTTCCTTATTTTTAAAAATTATTTCGTGTAGTCTCTATAAAAAGACATTTTCACTAAATCAAAGGGGTGCAGTAAGATGCGCGGGCTGACGGACGCGTTCTGATCAGGTCCAGCATGACGTGAAGAAGGGCTGCCTGACTATCTCGGTTATCCGTTAGAAATAATTGAAAATTATTTTTACTACAAGGTCTCCCCTGAGGTTTTAGGGATTTCGTTATGGAGAATTGAATGTGATCATAATAAAACATTATCCTTTGAAAAAATAGCTGATCTAATGGGCACCTCGTAAGTCCACAGTGAAAAATGTTAATAAAAAAATAACTACAAACGTAAATATTATTTCGAATGATTTAGCTTTTTTTAAAATATTTGTTGTAGATGTTTTGTGAGACAATATAGTTCGGTAAAAGTGGCCGAAGCCGGTATTCACCTCAACGGACAACTCAGCTTGGGTGAGAACATTGCCGATAATGGTGGAGTGAAGACAGCTTTCAACGTGGGTTTCCATTGGTTAAGTTCATTTAGGAAATAAAAATGGTTCCAATTTATTATTACTTTATGTGCATTCCTTCTAATTAGGCATACAAAGCTTGGCGTTCAAACACTTCCATGGAGGAACCAGCCCTACCTGGCTTTCAGAATTTCACCAGTGAGCAGATGTTCTTCCTCGCCTATGCCAATGTAAGATTTTTCTTGTGAAATGAAAAATGTCGTAAAACTAAGGAGAAACGGCCTACAGAATAAAAGAAGTACAGTACCCCCTGCTAGATAAGATTCATAACTTCTGCTTGTAAATCAGCTTACAGCACCACTTAAAAGGATTTGTGTCAAAAACAGTTTTGATGTTCAGTCGAAGTTTTCATGGGCATTCCAAATTTTCCATCGGTTTCTGCATCTAGTGGAGAAATGTCAAAGAGCGCTATGGAACGCTCCTATGTAGCGTTTATAGTCGAGAATCGCAAATTCGTACTGAATTCGCCGTAAAGGTTGGATCCGTGTCGATAGACTGACACCACTGTCTGATGGATATAGTGCGAAATAGATTTCATATAAGGAGGAAAAAGGGTGGTCGTTTTGCATCGCTCCTTTTCCTTCCTCCGTCTCATCGTTGTTAGCACTATCTCGCCCTACCGCTATCGTCGGTAGCGGACTATAAACACAGTTGAATTTCTCGGTGTATGTTATAATGAAGAAGAGCGAACGGGCTTTTTTGAAAAATGCTCATTCCAGATACGGTAGCCAAAAGTCAGCCTACTTCATAAATAATTTCCAACTTTTTTTTTATATGCGAAGAAAAAAAAACTATTTCAGAATTGGTGTTCGGTAGTACGACCGAAGCACTATGTGCAGATTATCATGACCGATGTACATGCTCCAAGTAAATACCGAGCAACGATTCCGCTTCAAAATCGTATCGAATTTGCCCAAGCATTTAATTGTGCTCGTGGTACACCAATGAATCCCGAAAAGAAATGTCAGGTTTGGTAGAGCTTCCCTAAAAGGAAGTCATCATTTGTCCATGCATCCATCATCCATCTCATTGCTTTCGTCGTTCATTCGAACTATTTGGCACCACCACCATATAATACCCACAAAATGCTGGGATCAACTATGCTGGCCCAGTGATGTACAAATTTCCCAGTGCATTCATAGTCGATTTCAAAACTCAGTCTGCTATCCCAAGATCAGGGAATACCAAGTTTTTTTCCTACAAAAATTAACTATATAATTCTTTGTTTATTAAAAAAATACGGTTGATCACGGTACAGCTGACTTTATGAGTTTTGATTTGGACTAATCACATTAAAGCTTTTCCCATTTCCTTTACAACGTATGTTCAGTCTAGTCATCTTCAAATGTGCTTTAAAATAATGTCTACCATTGCATTTTCCAAATGATCTCGTAGATTCGAATGTTGAATGTTGCAGATAAATCTATTCTTTGAATATTTATTGTTTAACATCCATAACTACATCATCAGAGCCATTTTACAACTTCAAACCACTGCACATAACCACAATTACACATCAAAATTCGTACTGAAAAGTTTTTGTTGCCACGAAGCCACCTCTCGAAAAAGTTCTCGTACCTTTTTCTTCAGAAAGATGTTACGATTGAC